ATCGTGACAACTGGCCTGCGCCACTCATGCGCCTCCTGCAAGTGCAGATACACCTACCATCGCACAGAAGCCCCTCGCCCAGCTGGAGTGACGCGATGTGAGCAAGGACTGTCAACGCACCATGCCATCACTCCTGAAACAACGCCCGCCCCCTCTTCACAGGCAGTACCCCTACTTCAAGGAGCAGGACACTCACAACCCCATGGGCATATTGGTGCCGGCCCCGGACGCACCAGAGGACCCCAGGTGGGTGGGTGGTGAGGGGGGAGGGATCGCGGTGTGTGCGATACCCGGCCCTGGCTCAATCCAGCTTTGTCGCCGCTTTTTTGGCCAGCTTGCTGGTTTTGGCTGGCTGGCTGGCTTGCTGGCCGGCTGGTTGGTTTGTTGGGGTGCTGGTGGGGAGCATGCTATTGACAACCACGGTCGCTGCCTATTGCTTGTGACCTGCTGGGCGCGCGATTTGCTCGCTGCCGCCGTGGGTTTGCTGCATGAGTGCACACGAAAGCGGTTGCCATGCTGCCAAGTGATTTCTACACGAGATTTCTGTATGAGCGACCGTCGCCCCTGCCTCACGAGGGAGGGGCCGGCACGCGTGAATACAGCTTATGAATGCTGATGGCAGAGTCATGGGCATCCTGGACTTGACAATCATATATCCTCGTCCAAGCACCTCATCTGTACAGGATGATGGCGCCTCCTAACCACCCTCGCGCACCATCTCGTGCCGCAGCCGCTGGCTCTCGCCTGAGCTGCCTGAGTGGTGCATGGAGAAGTACCGCTTCTACCTGGACCTGCCCGGTGACTTTTGGGAGGGCGGCCAGCTCATGAGGTACCTGCGGGAGAGGGAGGTGAGACACCTGTTTCAGGCTCTTGAGCCTTTTGTGTGTGTGTGTGTGTGTGTGTGTGTGTGTGTGTGTGTGTGTTGCGGTAGTCTATCGCAATTCCTGGAATGCGCCGGCATAATTGTACATGCATTCTATTGATGCTGCTAAGTCCCAGCTTGGATCTCCCGCGTCACCCCTGAATTTGATCTCAATCAAGCCGCAGGAGGGGGAAGGGCCTGCACCTCATCCCGCGAAATGGCTCATCCCCCTCCCCCTCCCATCCTGCCCTTGCCCCTGGCC